CAATAAATTTCATTCAAAAAAAAAGTTTTTTTTAAAAAAATAATTTTCAAACGCATTTTTTTGTATACCATAAACTCCCAGAGTTATATAAATTTTTTTTTTTTTTATACATAGCGTAGTCAAGGGCCATATAAAATCATCATGCTCCTTTAGAATTTTTTAATAATTCGGGAGGAATAAAAAATTTGTCCACGCTTATTTTTGTTTTTTTATTTTTAAAATAATAAATTATTTTTTTAATTTCTTTTTTTTTTTTTTTTTTATTTTCAAAGCATTTTTCTATTTTAGTTTTTTAATCAAATATTTATTTTTATATATGTAAATCTAATAATATTTTTTTGTATATATGTATATATTAACTTTAATTTTTTTTTTCAAATAAATCTATTCAGGATATAATAATACATTTACGATAATAAAATTTAAATAATTATAAATTAAAATTTTTTTTTAAATAATTATCATCAACACACTTAACACACTCTCACACAGAAGTATTAATTTAGTAAAAACATCAATACTTTGTTTAGTAATATTTTAAAATAATCAACTGAAAAGGTAATTATTATCTTTTAAATTCCAAATTTATTTATTAGTTTTTTTTATACATTATATTATTTTTTTATTAAAAAAAAGAAAAAAATTATTTGTTTTGTTTTATTTATATTTATTGTGTGTAAAATGACAAAGACTGGTCTTTCAAGTTTTTTTTTTAATATATTTTTAATTTTTTATCATTAATACTAACTTGATTTTTTTTTTAAAATTTAATTTCCAAAAAATAAAAATAAATTTCAAACATTTTTTTTTTAAAATTCCCAATAATAATAATAATATAAATTTAGATAATAAGTAGTAGCGCTTTATCTTTCAACAATATAAATTTTTATTTAGTCACATAGTTTACATATAAACAGCAATATGGGTAGAAAGAAGATTAAGATTCAAAGAATTCCAGATGAAAGAAATCGTCAGGTTACTTTTAATAAAAGAAAGAATGGTTTAATCAAGAAAGCAATGGAGTTGGCTTTACTCTGTGATTCCACCGTCTCTTTGGTAATTGTAAACAATTCACCAAATGCCAAGGAAAAATATTTCCAATATATCAGTACTGGTTTAAATGCTCCAATGGAATCAATTCCAGACTTGGGCCCAGAAATTTCTCAAAAGTTCACAGATAATGATGTATGTAAAAAAAAAAAAAAAAAAAAAAAAATATTCAATATACTAATTTTTTTTATAATATAGTATGATAAAATTTTTAATAAAAAAGATAAAAATGACTTTTCAGATGATTACTTGGGCGAATCAGCTTCACACTCAGAGGAAGAGGATCTTAAACTTTCTCCATCATCGACACCAGAGTTATTAGCTTTTAATGGTAACCATCAAGGTAACCATCATCATCATCATTCATCTCAAATGAATTCAAAGCTTTTACATAATCATCATAATCAATTTAGTGTTCATAACCATATTAATAAACCAATTTCGTCTATAAAACCCCCCCATTCTGATAATCACCATTTTTTTAATCATTTATCATCTTTAAATAATAATAATCAAAAATCTCATATGAGTAATAATCAAAACCATCATAATAGCAACCAAAATCATCATAATAACAATAATAGCAATAGTAATCATCACCATCATAATACCTCACCAATTGGTTCTCCACCAACTAAATATCAACAAGTTCCAACTTCTGCAGGTAACACCGGTTTCGATTCAAATCAAGCAAGCCAAGCTTTGTTATCACTCCACAATGCTTCAAAGCTATTTTGTTCATCACCAGAGGACACTTCTCCAATGACCTCACCAAGAACTCCACCATATACCAATAATAATAATAATAATAATAACAATAACAATAATAATAATATAATTCCAAATTCACCAAATAATAAATCTTCATCAAAACATTTACCACCATTTATATTTAATGAAAATTCAAATAACAATAATAATAATAATAATAATAATAATAATAATAACAGTAATAATAATAGCAATAATAATAATAATTCATCAAACAACAACAATCATCCAAATAGTCCAAATAGTAGAAATATCTTATTACCACCAATTAGCTTATATAATCCTTCCTCCTCTTCAGCGGCACCAAATAGTCTTAATGATGACTTATTTTTAAAAAAAAGAAAATTAGAATTAATTCATTAAATATATAATAATATTTTTTTAATAATTTATCCTTCCATTATTTTATAAAAAAAAAAATCAAAAAAAAATCAAAAAAAAAAAAAAATCAAAAAAAAAATCATAATAATAACAATATAATATATAGTTAAAAATATTATATCTATATTTCGATGTATATATACACCAATATTAAATATATATTTAGTAGTTGGCTCTTTTCCGAAGCAATTATTAACAACAAATAACAAATAATAATACAACTAAACAAACAACCAAAAAAAAAACTAGTAGTTTATTTTTTTTTACCAATTGTGTTTTTCAAATTACATTGGTACAATTTATTAAATAAATGCTTTTGTAAATAGAAATAATATTTTATAATAGAAACATTAAAAAAAAAAAAAAGCCTTTATTTGTTATGTTATAAAAATCCATAATAAAATTTTTTTTCAAAATCCTAATTTATAAAAATTAGGATTATTTTTTTATTTTATTTTTTTATCGTTTTTTTTTTTTTTTTTTATAAAAAAATTTTTATTGATCCTTTAATATACTTTGGTCACTGAATTATTTCATTTACTCTTTTAATATCATTTATTATTTCCAACAAAATTTTTTTTATTTTTTAAAATTTTTTTAAAATTTTTTTTCATTTTTTTTATTTTTTCATTTTTTTTTAATATTTTTTAAACAACGAAAGAGGTTATAAAATGTTAAACTATACAAAATGTATTAGAGGATTAAATAAATTAAAAAATCAAAAACTGTTTTCAACTTCGTCCAAATTAAATTTTAATTTTGAAAATAAAGAGAAATTTAATAGTAATAGTAATAGTAATAATAATAATAATAATAATAATAATAAAGGGTTTACAATTGAAAATGAAGAATTAAAATCAAATAAAAAAGAAAATTTCAATAATAGAAATTTAATATTACTTAGTTTTTCAATTAGTGGATTATTTGGATTTAATAAAAAAGAAGAAAAAAATCCATATGAACATTTGGTTACAAGAGAAAAAGGTAAACCAATCGAAACATTAGATGATGCATTGGAATGGTATACAAGTTATTATTTACAACCAGAACCAGAACAATTTATTGCAGCAATGAAGTTATTATTAGGATCACAATCAAAGTTATTCGTTAGACAACAACTTAACAATATTAAAGAAGAAAACGAAATGAGATCCATTGCAAGAATTTCAACTATTCAATCATTCTATTATTTACCATTGGTTGGCTTCATGATTGAAATGTTTAAACAAAATCCTCAAAACGTTGAAAAATGGTATAAAGAATTAACAAGCGATAAAGATATTTCAACACCATGGAAAAGTGCTTTGGGCGATTTAGATGCTATTATGTTAATTAATCTTGCAATTTCACTCACTGATATCCCACAGACTCAAGCAATCGAACAAAGAATAGTTTCCCAATTCTATACACCAAAAGATAAAGAAGAGGATAAAAAATTCAAATTAACACAGTTTAAAAATTGGGCTGCTTCTCAAAAGAAATCAACACAATCTTTACCTTTAATTTTAATTGGTGAATATTTCGCTTCTGGCAAAGAAGATACCATCAAAAAAATAGTTTCCATTTGGAGAAATGCTTTAGATAATCTCGAAGTTATGGGGTTACAAAGTACTCCTGGTGCAAATACTACAAATAATGTTGCTAAACGTTTAGAGTTTGAAAATAGAGAATTAATTATCGATCAATTAAGTCAAGCAATTCGTTTGTTGGTAAAGGACAAACGTGCCATAGAGGTTTTAAAGTCTGAAATCTCCCATCAAATTAAACAAAAAGAAGAAAGAATTAAACAATATAAATAAAATTATCGGTTTTATTATTTTAAATAAATTAGAAATATTTATAGACAAAAAAGAGATAATCTTTTGTGTTAATAAAAAAATAAAAGAAATAATTATTTGGGAATTATAGTTATTTAAAAAAAAGAATTTGGATTTATTAGGAGCTCTAAAAAAAGGTTTTATTGATTAAAAATATAAATATTTATTTCTAATGTAGATATAGTTATTTTTTTTTGGTTAAATTTTGAAATTATGACTGGAACTGTTTTTTATCATTAGTACTATAATGTTAGGACTATATGTTATCAGAGAAACAGTTAATTTAATATGTTATAATATTTTGAAATAAACATACATTACTAATTTCTAAAGAGGAATAATATATTTGATATTTTTTCTGATGTTTTTGCGGAATAAGTATTATTTCATAAATTATTGTTTTGAACTTGTGAATTTTTTTTATAATTACATAAACAAAAAAAACTTTATATGATAAAAAAAAAAAATTATTAATATTTTTTTTTTGTTTTTAAAATATTATTGTGTAATGTTGTTATTGGTTGTGGTTCTGGTTGTTTACTTGACTTACTTCATAAAATAATTTGTGTTTGTAATTCTATTTCTATTTTCTTTTAAGATGATTTGCTAATTACTTGAAGGTTTTATATTTTTTCAAATATTTATATTGTTTTTTTTAATGTGATTCAAAATCTTTTTTTATGATTAAAAGGTTTTGAGGTCATTATGAGTATAAATGTGTAAAAAATAAGGAAATACAAGTAATTACAAGTAAAACTAAATAATTTAATAACAATTACATTATTTTTTTTTCTAATTTTTTTTTTATTTTATTATTTTTTTAAAAAAATTTTTGTGGGGATTTTCAATTTTAAAAATAGGAGCGCTATTTGAAAAATAATTAATAAAAGAACAAACTTGAAGATAATATATAATGATTAATTTTATACTGTTTACAAGTTGATTTGAACGTAAAAAAAAAACATTTATTTGGATCCTGCTTTAGTGATTGAATGCATGTGTTTCTTGAGCATTTCTTTGTATGTTTGAATATCACCATTCCATTTAGTAATTGTTTTGTTATCACAAACCCAGATTTCTTCAGCAACTTGAGAAATGAGTCTAAAGTCGTGAGATACTAAAACCATACCACCAGGGAAGGAATTAATGGCATCAGCTAAGGCATCGATACATTCCATATCTAAATGATTTGTTGGTTCATCTAATAATAAAAGATGTGGATTTTCTAATGCCATAAGACAGAAAACTAATCTTGATTTAATACCATCGGACATACAACCAATTAATTCAGTTTGGGCTTTACCTGAAATACCAAATCTACCAATTTCACGACGCCTTCTTCGGTATCTTTATTCATGCTGGAGAATTTAGATTTAACAAAATCTAATGGAGTGACTGTAAGATCGAGAGCTTCGTGAGCATGTTGATGGTAACGTGCAATTTTAAGATGACCGTGCTTTTTAATATAACCGTTGGTTGGGGTAATTTGGTTAACCATTAATTTTAAGAGTGTTGATTTACCAACACCATTTGGACCTACTAAAGCAACTCTTGAATCTAAATCAATAGCTAAATCTAAATCTCTGTATAAAATATCAGCATCTTTACCGCTGTAAGAGAAGGTGACATTATCAAAATGCATAATTGGTGGAGCTAATTCACCACATGGTGGGAAAGAGAAATTGAAACGTTTTTCTTCGACGACTTTTTCAACGAGACCAGCTTCTTCCATTTTATCAATAATCTTTTGTTTTGATTTACCTTGACGAACTAAATTAGAATAAGTACCGCAACTTGCAATAAAAGATTTAATGTGGGCAATTTCTTCTTGTTGTTTGTTATAAGCTTTCATTTGATTGACTTCTAATTCTTGTTTGGTTTTAATAAAAGTATCATAGTTACCACCATAATATTTTAATTTAGATTGGGTCATATGAATGATATTGGTACAAACTGCATTAAGGAAATCTTGACTGTGTGAAATGATGATGAGTGAACGATCATATTTAGCAAGGTAATCTTCTAACCAAACACAAGCACCTAAATCCAAATGATTAGTTGGTTCGTCCAATAATAAAAGAGTTGGTTTAATGAAAAGGGCTTTAGCTAATGAAACTCTCATTCTCCAACCACCAGAAAGATCTTTAGTTTTCTTTAACATTGATTGACTGGTGAAACCAAGACCAATTAAAATTTCTGATGCTCTTGGAATAAAAGTAGTTGGGTCTAAACGTTCTAAACGTTCATAAACATCAAAGAGTTCTTCACTTTCTGGACCTTCTTCTTCTAAAAGTCTTTCTTCTTCAGCTTCTAAACGTTTAACTTCTCTTTCTGCATCATCGATAACGGTTTGAAGTGCTGTCTTTTCTGATGGATGAGCTTCTTCACTTAAATGGAAAATATCAATATGACTTGGAATTGGTAATTCTCTTACTGCTAAACATTGGAAAAAGGTTGATTTACCACAACCATTTTGACCAATTAAACCATATCTTCTACCAAAATTAATTTCGACTGTTGTATCTGAAAGTAATTCTTTACCGTGGAAAGTTAATGTAACTTGTTCAATTTTAACCTAAATATATTAAAATAAATTAATTACATTAATAATTATATTTATAAAAACCGTATATAGCTTTGTATATGACGATACTTACATCTCTTGAAGAATCTTTTGATGAAAGTGCACCAGTTGCAGTGAATGAATTAAGTCTCATTTCTTTGAATTTATCTCCAACATCAACTTCATCGTCTGATGGTGGTGGAGTATTCTCTTTTTTATTTTTATTATTTTTTCCTCCTTTTTTAGCCATTTTGTTTTTTTAAATTATCTTTAAAATTCTATATTTGTTGAAATGAAATTATAAAAAAAGAATTAATATTATTGTTATAAAAATAAAAAAAATAAGAAAAAAAATAAGAAAAAAAATAAAAAAGTTTATTAAATATTTAATATTGATTTAATATTACAAATATTATACAATTTATTTTTTTAAAAAAAAAAAAAGATAGTTTATTATTATTATTATTCAAAAAATAAAAAAATAACAATAAAAAAAAAAAAAACGAAAATTTATTTTATTATTTTTTTGTATCTAGGGGTAATATTTTTAATTATTGAAATTTTAAAAAAAATAATGTTTTATTTTGTAATCTTAAAATAATTTAATATTTAAAAAAAAAATTGTGTGTGTCTGTTTCTGTGTCTTTGTATTTGTGTGTGTGTGGTGAATTTGATAAAAAGTATATTTAAAAACTAATTGTTTATTTATATTTTATAAAGAAAATAATATAAACACTATTTGAAAAGAAATAAAAAAAATAAAAAAGAAAAACAATAAAGATATAAAGAAACAAACCAAGGTAAAGTTTACATACTAAACAACTTAGATGATAAATTGAAAAAAAAAAAAAAAAAAAAACGAAAAAATAGTTTTGTATTTTAAAAAAAAAAAAAAAAAATTAAAAAAAAAAAAAAATAAAATAAAATTTAAAAATAAAATATTTTTTATTTTTTTAATAATAACTTCTAATTAATTATTTCGAAAAAAACGAAAAAAAAAAAAATAAAAATAAAAAAAAAGAAAAAAAAAAAGAAAAAAAGAAAGAAAAGAAAAAAAAAAAAAAAAAAATTCTTTTTTTAAAACAATTTTTATTTTTATTTTTTTTTTTATTATAATTAACTTATTTATTTTATTTTATTTTATTTAGTTATTGAACTGAACAATTACTGTTTTTATTTTCAACATTAATATTTGATTCCATTTTTTTATTTTTATTTTTTAAATTAAAATTAATGTATGGATTATCATCAGTTTCATTAATATATGATAGTGGTAATTGATCTTTTAAATTATTAAAAGTAAAAGAATTGATTTTGTTTGAATTAATTCTATCGATTACAATATCAATAAATTTTAAAACTTGTTGATCCAACCATGATTTATTTGGTAATGCTAACAGCATATCTTTTGGTAAATTTGAGTAACCAATAATTGAACCTAACAATGAGCCTGCTGTTGAACCGTTTGTATCGGAATCACCACCTTCTCTAATTAATTCATCTAAAACTTTTCTAAATACAAAGGATTTCTCTTTAGAATCATTATTATTTTGAAAATAGTATTGATTAAATTTTCTTAGTGATAAAATTGCAGATCCTAAACATTTGTAAACATATCCAATTGATGAGCCTTCGTCTAAATCTAATTCTGACCATTCATTAAAATTTACATATTGATTAAATAATTTGAAATTTTCAATTTTTTCTTCTTTGCTGATCATTTGATTTGATTGAAACAATAAATTGGCAATTTGATTATATTTTTGATTATTTGTTAAATTATTAATTATCTGATCAATAATTATTTTTAATTTTTCATCATCTTGATTATTATTATTATTGTTATATTTCAAAATATCTGATATTATTTTTGTAAATAATAAACAACTGACAATACATCTACTATCATAATGAGTTACTTTGCAACATTCCAATGTGTTTTGAAATACTTTGGCGTCATCTAGAAAATCCATACACCCTAAAATTGAGGTTCTCATTAAACTACCATTTGCTGCCATTTTTTTACCACCATTGATCCAAACAAATTTACTAACCATAGTTGGTTCATCTTGAAAATTTTCATTAAAAACTACAGATCCAACAGTTTGCCCTAACCCCATACCACTTTGATCACCTAATTCTTCAAATCCATTTTCTACCCAGTTTTTTAATTTATTTGAAAATAGTTTAATATCTATTTCACCATTACATTCTATTAAGGTTTGTAAAATTAATATCATTTGGTCAGTGTCATCTGTCCAATCACCTTTATCCCAACGTCTTAAAAAATAATAATTAATATTATTATTTTGAATTTATAATATAATATTTTAAAATTACATACCTATTATGTCTATTTGTAATATAATTTGGGAAGTCTATAAATACATTGGGGTCTGGATATAGTTCACATATTTTTTCTTTATTTAAAAATTCTGTGCTTAGCCCATATGCATCTCCTAAACAATTTCCATAGATACAACCTAATATGTTATCAAGATATTTAATATCTTGATATTTTTTATTATCGCTCAAACCTTCAATTTCTATTGATGCTTCTTTTATATTTATTCTTTTTTCTTTATTTTGAAATGACATTTAATATTATTATAGTTTATTTTTATTATTTTTATTATTTATTGTTATTATTATTATTACTTTTTATTAATATTAAAATAAATAAAAAAAAATTAAATAAAATTTTTTTCCCACATAAAATTTTTGAGAAATATTAAAAAATAAAAATTTTAAAGAAAAATTATTTTTCGTTGAATTTATTTTTGTTAATTAAAATCAAAATAAAATTTTAAACCGCCTAAATATAATCCAATAGATCTTTTTTTAGTTTTGATATTAATAATTTTTCTAAAGGTTGTTTATAGTCGATAATTTCAAATTGTTCTTTGTCGATATATTCTAATGTTAAAATTCCACAGAGTTTAGTTGATGCTTCAAAAGCTAAAATTAAAATTGAATCTGGATCTTCTTTATTTCTTCTTTTAAAGTCGCTAACCTGTCCAAACATTTCAACTGATATCTAAATAGTTTTTATAAATGATTAGTTTTTTTTTTTTTTTTTTTTTATAATTTAAATTATTATTCTTACTCTGTGTGAAACCAAAACTTGTAAATCTGCACTTCCGTCAGATATACGCACAGAATTATTAAAAACTCCATTTTTCATACGAACTTTGATATTATCGCACATTCCATAAATAAAAATTTTATCACCTTTTTTATAATTTGAAATATTATCTAAAACTTCTCTTAAATAAATAATTGAGTCTTCTGAATTTTCATCATTTAAAAAGTCATCTTTATCTAAAAAGATAATATCGCTGTCATCGCCAAAATTTGTTTCTTCTATTTTATTGGTTGCAGTGGTTGTTGTTGTTATTGATGATGACGCTATATTTACTCCATTAAGGTTGTTTGATCTTGAAGCTATTAATGATGGAGAGGGTACGAGGGGAGATATATTTGGTTTGGGCGAAGGAATTGTAGGTTTTAGTGATGATAAAGTGGAGGCAGATGATGCATTTGATTTGGTTGATGAGGCGGTTGATGTTATGGGTGGTGTGGGTAATGATGTTGAAGTTGATGATGGTGGTTGTTTAGTTATACCTGGTTTAGTTGGGAATGATATTTTAAAAAGTGAATTGGCATTTGATGGTGCAGTAAGTCTACTCATGAAACCATCAGTATTTATTTTCTGTATAGGTATATTATTATTATTATTATTATTCGTATTGTTATTGTTTGAATCTGTTAAATTGTTTCTAGTGGGTTTAAAGGATGGGAATTTATTGGTATTTCCTGTATTATTATTATTATTATTATTATTATTATTATTATTATTATTATTATTATTATTATTATTATTATCTTGTGGTATTATTTTTGATAGTCTATCTTTTCTTGATTTAATTTCTTGATTTTGCTTCTCTACTAGATGTTTGGCATGTCCCCCTAAAATTACAATATTATGTTCCTCTAAAGCTATTTTTCCTCTCCTAATATTAAAATCTTTTATAGCGACCTTTTTTTTTTAAAAAAAAAATAAGTAAACTATTAGTATCTGAGACAATTAATAAAGTTTTTTTTTTACAATCATAAATACTTTTATACCAGGTGATAATTGTGGATTTAATTGTTTAATAAAATAATGTTCAAATGCAATAAAGTTATGTTTGCCATCGGAAAGTTTTAGTTGTAATGTTCTATTATTTGAATTATCGGGGTCATCCCTGTATTCATGTGACTCTGAAATATTTATAATTTCATCTATTTGCAATATAAACATACCTTTTAGTGTATGTAGTTTTTTTTCGAAATCATTAATTGTTTTAGCTTGATCGTCCGTGAAACTGGGATGATTTGATGTAGTTTTCCTTATATCGCTTGTCAAATAATATTTGAATACCTTTTCAGCAACTGCTTGGGGTGATTTTGTTTTAATAAAATTTTCATTGCTTTTATTTATATAATTTAAACAATTATTTAACCAATTATCATTTAGTTTTATATTACTATTATTTTGAAAATATTCTTTAGTTGTCCTTATTAGTGCAATATAGTTTATATTATTATTTATATTATTGTTATTATTATTGTTCATATATTCTAATTTATCTTTTATTTTAAAAAATAATTTAAGGTTTTGAAAATAAAAAAATAATTTAAAATTTTTTTTTTTAATTTTTTAAAAAATAAAAAAAAAAATAAATGAAAAATATTTTTTTTTTTTATTAGAAAAATCCTATTTTTGTTAATTTAAATATCATTTCATTGATTTATAAAAAAACAAAATGTTATTATCCTTTATAGTTATTATATTAATATTTTTCTTTATATGGAATTTTATTGTACCATTTTTAGTTATTAAAATAAAAAATGATCAAAATTTAAAATCAAAATATAAAAATTGTAAATGGGCATTAGTAACAGGTGGCAGCTCTGGTATCGGTAAAGAAATTTGTGAAAGATTGTTGGCTCAAGGAATATCCGTGGTCATTGTATCGAGCAGTGGCAATGGATACACCAATAAACTTTTAGAAAAATACAGCAAAGGTCCGGTTAGAGTCAAATTAATAACATTAGACCTATCCCAAAAAGAATCATGTAAAAAGCTAATCAAAGAGATTGAGGACGATAATCAAATCGAAAAGGAAACATTAAAGCTATTGTTCAACAATGTTGGTTATTTAACAATGGAGGCATTTAATCAAACTACAATAGAGGCTAAAATGGAAATGATTCAATGTAATGTTTTAACAGCAGTAGAATTAACTGATTATTTTTATAAACAACTCATTAAAAATAAGAGTAATGATAGCAGTGATTCCAATGGTGCAATTTTATTTACATCATCCATCACTGGTCTTTGCCCAACACCATTTTCAGCAATGTATGCAAGTGGAAAATCATTTATAACATGTTTTGCAAAATCATTGGCAATTGAATCTCGTTATCATGGTATCGATGTATTAGTGGTTCAACCTGGCTTAGTAAATACAAATTTATTTTTAGAAGTACCTAAACATTTAATTTTTTCCATTTTACGTTTAGTCGGTCAAGAACCATCTCAAATTGTTGATATTATGTTTAGAGGCTTAGGTACTTTGGGATTTGTAGTTTATAATGGTGGAATATTTGGTCTAGTTTCAGATTTGTGTTGCTCAATATTAGGAATCAATTTTATGTTAAATGTTGTTTATTACATTTCAAATTATTTATTAAAAGATTTTAATTGTTATAAATATAATAATAATAATAATAATAATAATAATAATAATAATAATAATAATAATAATAATAATAATAATAATAATAATAATAATAATATTAATAAAAATAAATAAAAATGAGAAATTAATTAATTGTTTTTTTAAATATATCCGATTCAAAAATAAAATTCAAAATAGTAATAATGTATTTATATAAATAATTTTTAATTTTTGTAATTTTATATCAACTTGTTTTTAAACCTCCCAAAATAAATTATTTTTTAATTTCGAAATAGTTATCAATAACGACATTTAAAAATAAAAAAAAAATAAAAAAAACAAGCTATGAGTTTTTATAAAGGTTACTAATTTGATACCGGACCTATAGGGGCAAAAATAAATACCGAATAGTTTTTGATAACTATTTTCGAAACCCGCAAATATTAAAAAAAAAAAAAAAAAAAAAAAAAATCTTTTTTCTTTTAATTTATATAACCAAGTGTATTAATATTATAATTATTATTATTTATTTTATTTTTTTTTTTTATTTTTTTTTTTAATATAACTATAGAAGCACGGTGTTTTTCATAATACAGGTATTGGAAGTTTTTATATTATAATGTAATTATATAATACACAGTTTTATTATAAAAATTGAATTTTTGTTTGTAATGTTTTATTATTATAATAATGTTTATTTTAAAATAGGATATATTTTGATTCATTTTTAGTTTATTACTTTTATAATTCATTATTCATTATTAATTTTATTTTATAATAATAAAATATAAAAAATAATATTATTTTGATATATATCTTTTGTTGTCCCACTGTTTTTTTTTTCTAAAATTATATTTACAACAATTTCCTAATTAGTGATAATAGTTGTGGAATGAATTCAAGTGAATACCACACTCAGTAAAACACACACACACATATATACATATATTATACACAAACATAACCCACATATATACACTCAAAATATCCCCCTTTCAATTTGACATTTTTAACACCCTAAAACAGTGCCACACTAAAACTCGAGCACCCCCACACTTAAATATTTTTATTATATAAATAAAATATTATAATAAAACAATAAATATTTATTAATATTTTTTATTTTTCATTTTCAAATATTTTATATTTTTAAATATTTAATTTGTAGTATTTTTTTAGTAATTTTATCTTTTTTTTTGATTTTTTTTTAATATTTGTGTGTTTAAGGTAAAAATATTTAAATAGTATTTTTATTTTTTTTCTTTTTTTTTTTTTTTTTTTTATTTTATTTTTCTTTATGAAGGATAAAAAGATATCTATTTTTAAACTTTACAAAACTATTTTTATATTTTTAATTTTTTTATTCTTTTTTTTTTATTTAAATTAATAATAAATTTATTGAAGATTTTTATTTTAAATTAATTATTATTTGTATTAATGTCGTTATTATTATTCAAACTATTAAAAAGAAATAATAAAACTATATTTACTTAAATATACATAGATATTTTCATAAAAAATTTTTTGTTTTTTTTTTTCGGTTTTAATATATTTTAAAAAATAAAATAAATTATTTTTTTAAAAAAAAAATAAAAAATAAAAAATAAAAAATAAAAAAGTACACAAAAATTCATTTTTTATT